CTCAATCGTCTAGATTCTTCATATGAAAAAGAGGCCTTAAAATCATCTTGTTTCGTTTTTTCACCAAGAAAAAAACTGTCAGTTAGACTGTGAGGCCTTTAACTGACCGCCTAGAAAAACACAAACCTGACAAAATTTAAGGCTTTGCATTTACTGTGCAACGTTATAATGTGAAGCAACTCTTCAAGTCTTTTCTTGTCCAAACGGAGGTGCTTTTAGTCCTCCGAAACTAATTCTAACTGATGCTTCATTATATGCATGAATTAAACCCTTCATCGCATCGTTTTTCTACCTGGTGGGCTCATAATGGGGTGAGACGGTCTTTTAAGATATACCCTCTCAAACTAAACCGCTCAAAAGTACCCTTCCTTTACTGACAGTTGAAGATTTACATGTATACTACCAAAAAAATGTATAAAGCTGGTTTGACGTAATTTAAAATCCTCAGTTTAGTGTCGAAGACGAACAAACCATCTCACGTCCAAATCGAGATGGAGTGCGTTCCATTCATAATCCAGATAGCTACGTTGTAAAACCAGATGTTAAAAGCACGTCAGGTAACAATTTGTTCGTTCAGGTTTTTTTACCGCGGGGGATGACGAAATGAGAGTGTGAGGAAGGACCGAATGAGTATTTGAAAACATATTTGGCCTCGTGTTTCCGGACCACGGAATTTTGTCATATTCTAGACGATTTACCCTAGCTAGTGCAAAGTTTACGGAACATAATGGAACTAAGAGGAAAAGTGGGGCGATCATAAAGAAGTTCCTCTGGTGAAAATTTGGCGTAGTGAAAGATTGCGGCATAAAATTTTGTGTTGCTTTCTTGCTAAACTAACTTCCCTCTAAATTTGAAGTCAATCGAACAAATTCCCTCTGACTTAAATTAAAGCATGTTCAACTTGAGTCATCCTCTTTTAGTCTCACGATTTGAAGGACAGCTAAACTCTAACTCCGGTGAATCATGAACTGGTAGTATCTCAAACCCAAACTCATATGACTGAGTGTTCTGCATTGAGGCGACTTTTATTTTAATTTAAATGACTTTTATCTTATTTTTAACAGTTAAAGTTACTTTTAGCAGTTAAAAGCATTTTTAATGACTTGTCCAAATAGCGGCGTTAAATCGATCGGAAATTATTCCTGATCAGCTCATTTTTTTTTTAAATATAGATGTATCATCTTAATATATGTTAATGTTAAGACAGTTTAACTCAACAGCGTAAAGTTTGCAAAAGTTCACAAACAGAGAACGCAAAAACGCATTTTAACATCGTCGCTTTTATTAGGCTATAAAAACACTCCAGTCGTGTTAGTAATATCCTCGGAACACGGAAGAGTTCTCTTTATTTAAACTAAAAACAGGTATCCCATTTATTTAAGAAGAAGCAAATCGAAGATATGACAGTTTCCTAGTTACTTGATATTCTCTTTCCAAAAATAATACATCCATCTCGAGTATATCACTCAAGACATTTTTTTAGTTATTTTTAAGGCCACGCATCAGTTTCCCAGGTAATAAAGGGAAACACAGGGAGACATACCAAGGGCTTTAAGACCACTTGACCGCTTCACAGACAATACATGAACAGCTGCATTGCCGTCCGTCCTTCAATAAACCTTTTCAAGAACTTGAAATGGCGACTCCAGCCTCCTTAGTCTCACAGCTTTTAACCCCGGGCATTTTAAAAACAATATGGTTTCAAATAATTTAACGTAGCTTAAGAGAGGCAGAAGGACAGAAACTTGCAAAAAAAAAATAATAATAATGAAAAAAAGAACGCGGTCTACATTTTAGAAGCAGGTATAGGTATAATTGACGCCGTGACGATATTCACTTTTGACATGTCATTTGTTGACCGCCCATGCGGCAGGTGAAAATGTTAACTCACGTTCAGAGTAGCACGATCCATGCGCCCTTTTGGAAAGCTGCCATGCAACCTTCCCAGTTTTCGTTAATTATGAGCTTAATTAATAATGAACGAAAACTAAGAAGAGTGGCAGCTCCGAAACTTACAAATCCGACTTTTAAGCTGGTATACTATCGCCATTTAAATTTCCTGCCTTGGAAAAGCGTTCTTGGCGAAAAATTTTTTTCATAATGTCTAGAGTAAATTGCATTTTGTTAGAGTTACCGGTGAATGATATTTATGTGCATTAAGTACAAACATAATCAAAATAGCGTTTAACTTTTCTGGGCAAAGGATCTTAAGTTGTCCTCTACACGAATAAGTTAGCAATTGTTTGGAGGCAACTTGAAAACAGCAATGTAACGCCTTAATGTATAGAAGTTTTATTTCAAGGCGAACGAGAGCTCGCAAATAAAGTTCATTTTACCTTTTGCTCGAGAATTTAGATGCCACGCTAGTCTGTCTGCGTAGCTGGCGGTTTTGAACGATGGTAGTGGGGGGGGGGGGGGGGGGGGGGGGG